AAAAAGAAAGTGACAGTTCAGTAGAATGTGAAAATTTGTTTGTGTGCCAGAAACTTTATGAAATGTGTGGAAGGCACATTTTCTCTGCCCAGGACAAAGTTGTGCCCCCCCCCAGTCAATGTTGTACATTTTTTCACAAGAAGAGCAAATAAGGAACAGTCATGTATAACCCAAGAACAGGACCCTGCTCTCTGATGCCACAGGTACACAACCAAATCTGTCTGGACAGATGGCCAGACAGCCAGGCTCTAAAAAGTGTCAATAATGACAATTTTCTGTTCCTGGCTTGAAAGTGCATGTTCTTGTTTGAACTTTGTGTGGCAGATACTTCATAAAACATCTGGAGGTCACAGTTTCTCTGGCCAGGACAAAAAACAGAACTTTTGCAGTGATTCATTGTAGGGATTCTCCTCTTATCCGCATCTTTAGGGTTTTTTAAAAAAGAAATCTGCTGAAGTTTCTGGCAGAAGTCCCATGGTGACCCTCTTGGGAGCCTCTAAATCTCACAACAAAGCTTCAAGTCTGGATAAAAGAGGCAGAAATTCTGGGAACAACAAGTCTGTATGTGGACCTCTTCTGCAGTCCTGGGATTGTTTGCACCTGTTTAAAACCCATGATTTAGTGTTGTCTGGAAGTGCCCTAAGTAGTTCAAAATGATGGGAACTACCCCAGGTTCTGAAACTATCTGGGAAGAAAATAGCAGAAAATAAAAGATACCTGAAAACAAGGTTCTCTCCATGGCACTTTTTAGCTTATGAAAATTATGTCAAATTCTAAATGACCACACTGCTAAGTTACTTTGGAGAGTTCACATGATGTGCTGCTGGATTTAGAGCACATCCACAGCATCCAGCAATCAATTCATGTCAATGGCACATGGTATTCACTACAGAATTTCCAGTTTAGGAAGTGTAGATAGCAAATTGGACCGAATCCAGCTGATCCACTGTCCACACTGCCAATGTAGGCTTGCTGGCAACATCACATTTCTGGTAATGTCATTTCTGGTGCCAAATATGTAATCAGAAATGCAACATCTCGAGAAAATCTTTGGGAGGGAGGTGCTTGCTGGCTTTTTTTTTTTTTTTGAGACTTTGAAATATTTTATTATATACAGCAAGGTATTCTGGCACTGGAACCGCAGTCTAAACAAAACATTAATGTATTCTCTCTGTGTACGAAACCACACGGAAATTTTAATTATTACAATTGGCCCGCCATAGGTTTTTAATGCGTCGTGGTGTTATTGTTACTGTTTATTGCTTTGTTTATGAGTTTATTTATTGTCTGTATTGTTGTTGTTGCTTTTTTTATTGATGTATTTGGGCTCGGCCTCTTGTAAGCTGCACCGAGTCCCTCGGGAGATGGTAAGGTAAGGTAAAGGTAATCCTCTGACATTAAGTCCAGTCATGTCTGACTCTGGGGTGCGGTGCTCATCTCCATTTCTAAGCCAAAGAGCCAGCGTTGTCCGTAGACACCTCCAAGGTCATGTGGCTGGCATGACTGCATGGAGCGCTGTTACCTTCCCGCCGGAGCGATACCTATTGATCTACTCACATTTGCATGTTTTCGAACTGCTAGGTTGGCAGAAGCTAGGGCTGACAGCGGAAGCTCACATCGCTCCCCAGAATTGAACCTGCAACCTTTCGATCAACAAGCTCAGCAGCTCAGTGCTTTAACCCACTGCGTCACCGGGGGCTCTGGTTGTACTGGTCCATTTAGTTTTCTTGGCAAGAATATTAGGTTTGTTTGCCATTGCCTTCCCCAGGGATCACACTTGGTCTGACCTCTCTGCCACAACCATCCCATCTTGGGTGACCCTTCACAGGGGGCTCCACCGGGAGATGGTAGTGGGGTATAAATAAAGGTTTATTATTATATTATTATTCTTCACATATACTTTACACGCATGGCCTGAATGTATTTTTATACACAGTATTTTAAATAATGTTGTACATGAAACACAGTTTGTGTGCACTGAACCATCAAAAAGCAAAGAGGTCAGTCTCGGCCATTTATTTGGACAATTTTGGATTTTGGAGCATTTCTATTTTGGATTTCAGGATAAGGGATTCTCAGTCTGTATTTAGCTTATATTTAATCTAATATTACAAATATCTAATTTATAACATTTTAATCTGTACAGAAGCATACTTATACAAATATTTCATTGTTATAAATCAACCATCCCCATCAGTTAACTTATTGAGCTACATATTATTTCTTATCCAGTTATAGGTCTTGATATCTGACTCCACCTTATGTCATCCCTCATGCAAACTGGGCATAATTCATTCAAAATCTGAAATAAATACAATATTCCATGCGTCTAGTTCCTGTTACTGTTAGAAACTTTGTTCCTTTCTCCATCTGCTTTTGTTCTTGTCTTTTATTTATGATTTAAATCCTTTTATTCTTCCTTTTCTCTGCCAACATTTCCAGGTTCTTAGGGTTTTTTTTTCCTATTAATAAAAAATCCTTTTAGTCATGATTTCAAAGTAACTCTTTGCTTTTACATTCTAAAAAAGTTGCTTTTAGCTTACTGGAATCTGGAGTGAGGTTGCTAAATTCACTGATGCCCCCAAACTATCACAAAGTCTAGGGTCAGAATAGGGAATGGGAAAATGCAGGCAGAAGACAGCCAGTGGTGGTGGTGGTGGTGGAATTCACTGGACATTGTGGTGAATCTGCAGGGCAGTGGGAATCTGTTGCCCCATACCCACAGCACCTGCAGCTCTGCCTTCCTCACCTGGAGGAAAGCATCGCTGCCTGGCTTCCCCCTGCATTGTCCCCATTGCTGGCAATGAGAACATGGGAAGCCTCCTGTGTTCTTCTTGCTCTGTCATAGGACACTGAGAGCATAGTTCCTGAATTGAGCCCTACTGGACATAGCTGTGTATCATGTGAAGGGATCCATCAGGCTCTGTCCAGGAACTATGCTTTCAACATCCTACAATGGGTCTGAAAGCCTGCATGATGGAGTCCTTAGAAAGAAAAGTAGTATCAAGACTTTGCTGATATCAGAAAAGATATGCAGTATGGCCTCTGCAATGACAAACAATGACAAAGGTAAAGGTGACTGTCCAACATGGTCAAACTGAGTTTGGTCCAACTGCATGGTGAAGACTCTGCTTACTCTGCTGCTGTGGTTTGGGAACGGAGAGGTATAAGCACAGTGGCAGATTCTGTGACCTCTGTAGATGGGCCCATTGTTCTGATAAGTCTATAATTGAAAGATTTGCTTTAAAACCTAGTAGAAAGTGTTTTTTTAAAAGGAATTAAAATATTTGCCAAATCACCATTGCAAGAACAACTGCTAGATAATCCAGCAAACTGTGTATTCCGTGATTCTGCAAATGATACAGCCATGGCAATTAAAGTGGAATTGTGGTGCTATAATAGCATTGTTTGAAAGGCCCACAGACCTTGGGCATCCCAGTCTGCCCTCATTTCAGAACCCACAAAATGGATACAGCTTATTTCCATTAATAACAACTATAATTGTCAGTGAGAAAGCATTTTCATCCCCAGCACAGAAGACACATACAGGGAAATATAAACCCCATAAATTACTTAAATTTTTCCAGTATCCAAGACTGTACAAAAAGGGAAGTGTAGATAAACTCTTTCCCCCTCCATTCCCCCCTCCAAAAAAAACCCTGCTCCACGCTGTCTGTGCCTCACTCTCCTTGAGTCTTCTTCGGTTTCTACTTTGTATTTAAATAATGCAAATTTGAAAGGGAAAGAATTCCCCCCTTCCCGACTCCCTCTACCCACCCCCACTGTGATGCCATTGCATAATTATCTGGGCTGGTTGAAAGAATGAAACCCAGTTCAAAATGTATGAGTTCATTTTTATGTTCTACTGAGAAAATTTATTCAGTGTGACTGCTCAGTAGCGAGTGCAGTAAAACACCTTAATCCCTGGTTGAAGAAAGGTAATACCTTGACAGATGTGTGCCTCCTACTTTCCTTGCGGCCATGTTTCAACAACAAACCTTTATTTCTGCTTCTTGGCTGTAGCAGGGAGGGAAAAAATGAGCGGAGCAATAAAGCAGTCAGAGAAATCTCTGGAGCCAGGCAGCAATGCAATAGTAATGACAGATTTTTTAATGTGGCAGGAGAGATTGACAGGGAAATGTCTTCAGAGCAAACGCACGCCAGATGGAATGAAAACGGTTTATTGGAGTATGGAGATGCTACTGAACTGAATAGAGGGCGGGTTTAAGGTGGGTGTTTTATCTGATTTGAGTAAACAACAGCCCCCATCATGACCCTAAATCCCTTCATTTGGCCATTGTGCAAACTATTCTGTTAAAATGACAAATGGAAGTTGGGGAAATAAGGGTCTTTTTTCAAACTTAGAAAAACTTTGACAAAAAAAGGAAACCTTCTAAATTTTGAGTTGACCTGTGCTGTGCACACTGGAAATGGAAAATGGTGTGGATCTATTTTTTCTCTCTCTCTCTCAATCTTTAAAAATAGAATTAAATTAATACTTGTTTCAGGCAGTTGTAAAAGTTTATTATTTTTTTAATACGAAAAAGATGATGGTGGTGGGGTTAGGAGAGTGGAGGACAAAATCAAACCATACGTATTTACCAAAAAGTAAAGAAAAATCTGTTTTTTATATATATTAAATAGAAATGTAGTCAGAAGTCCACCTTTCAAGACAGGCTTTAAAAACAAAGCTGATCTTTTTTGCTTCCTTCCAACTACAGTTAACCAACACCTGGATTTTCTGCAGAATGGTCTTAACAACTCACATAAAGGTAAAGCACTGTAATATTTTATATGTTGTAAAAACCATGAAAACACTCAGAAATGTGAGTGGTTGAGTGTACGTCTGAGTGATGCATGTGAGCGTCTGAGAGAGAGAGAGAGAGAGAGAGAGAGAGAGGGAGGGAGGAGGGGAGATGGGTAGGTAATTGTTTTAGTGAATTTTAACACTTTATGATCAGTAGATTGTTCGGTGGAGGCAAATAAAGGAGAACGGCAACAAAGATGTGTCCTTTTGTTTTGTTTCCTGAAGACTGCCTTTCTCTCAATAGTAGCCACAGTGATGATAGATCCTCCCGTATTTGACCCTGTCAAAGAAATAGCAGGCACATATTTTAGATTTTGAGTAACCACACCATTTGGGAGGAAAATGCTACCTTTGTTGTGGGGAATTTTATCCTGATTCCCGAGTTTCAAGAAATGTAGAAGACCAACAAGAAAAAAGAAAAGAAAAAGAAGCTGGGGGGGGGGGTTAGTATGATGTGTGAATCTGAGAGTTAGAAATGAAAAAGGAAGGTTGATGTATATGGCCTTTCTTAATTTCTTCTGTTACCATTGGCATGCAGGCTATATATGCTCCAATACAATCTGTGGAAAAGTATGCAGTAGGCATGGATGGGGGCAGAGGGAGGAGAGGTGGAGGACAGAAGCTTCAAGAAAGTCTGCAGTGCCCCCACCCACCCACCTCCCTGATGTCATTTCATCTGATAGCCACAGTATTAGGATAACAAAGCTTTAGGCAAAATGCTTAACACTGACAGGAAAAGTAATTGGCAAAGCCTGGTGACAATGTGTCCCCCCTCTTTAAAAAATATCAAAGATATACCAGTGGTCCCTCTTTTTTTCAAAACAAAAAAAGGGTATTCATATTTTTGTTGCTATAATATTCTATTTAATCCTGCTTGCATACTCAGTCTCATAATGCTTTAGGAAGGGTAAAGTTTGTTTCCTTTTTTTTTACTTTGCTGAGCTTGTTCTCTCCTGAGCCATCATTGCCTGATGCATTTTTTCCCTCTCCGTGATTTGCCAAAGCACACAAGCTGATAAGTGAGATACATAAGATTGAAAAAAGAAAGAAATTAAAAGCCACCTTAAAAGACTATAGTTATTCCCTCCAACAACGTGTGCATGCGTACAGCCACACACCCAAAGCACAAAATTTAAGGAGAGTGGTTCTTTAAAAAGAATCAAGAAAAAAGGAAGAAAACCTGTGTGCTTGATTCTAACTCACTTTCTTTATTTGTTCAATCATTCAGTACAAACTCATCAGCATTCAGAAAATCAGAATTCATCTACAGCTTAGATATGCACAGAGCCTATTGACAATGGTGAGTAGTTTGGATTTTTTWAAAAAATTAAATGTTCAGGACCTTCACTTAGACATGGTATTTAATTGTTGGAGAGGTGGCACTGTCTTCTTGGAAAGTTCTTTCAGTGATTCCTCCCCCCCCCCCACCCCCAATTTCTCTGAAAAGCATGTGTCAAAAGGAAATGAATGCAAGGCATATGTATGAATTGAAGTAAATGGTTTGATTTTCAACCCATCCAAGACGCTGTTGCTTGGCACMATGTCTTTAACCCATTTTTTACTGTAGCCTAACAGGCTATGGAATATTAGTCTGTCTTCAGAGACCTGGGCAGTACCCAGAGACATTCTGACAAGTTTCAACAGCTGCCTTAATGAAGAATGCTTTTTGCTTATTTTGCCCAGGCTCAACAAAGAATTTAGTCTTTCCTATCCTTCACTCTTAAATTACTGCCTGACAGCGCACTGCATTTCTATTATTATGAGAATGTGAAGGGCATACCCAGATTCACCCTCAGATGAACTAGCCGAATGCCTGGTGTTTTCATCTCATAAGATGCTATATACAAAATTTCCACCTCCAAGTGTGTTCATTAGTCATTTACAAATTATTTTTTATTCCTAAAATCACCAAGTATATCAGCAGGCTCTCACGCACCCCCGCACTGTGGAATTTTGATAATGTATGTCCTAACCGCTTAATTGATTGATTAGCTTACTGCCGCTTTCTGAGACACCAAATTTATCTTTAATAGCCGGAGTCAGGCACGGCAGGCAATCGGAGGGGGGGGGGGTGTCCCTTGGCGTCGATTTGCTCTTAACTGGAAAGTCATTACCACTTAATACATGTAGATTGTGTTGAAAGAAAATTATGTGTAATGAAATGAGGGAAAAATTAGTGGAGTGTTATGGGCGAAAGCAGATGTTACGGAGGAATTATGCTAGCAGAGATAATCACCTTCGCTAGCATTGTGTGTGCTGGGGTGTTAACTCAGGGAGAGAGAGTTGGTGAGTGAGCTAAACAAATGTATTGATTTACACGGATTTGTTCCTTCAAGCTGGAACACACTCAGCCACAAGGTTTGTCTTTCATAGGCTCAAGCTTTTCCTTTTTTGCTACTTTTCCCTTCGTGTAACATGCAGATGGACCTGCTTGAAACATGAGGGGGGAAGCTGTTGATATGCTGAGGAGCACCGTGAAGTGAAGAAGTATCCAAGGACAGTGAGCTGAACATCATGCTAAGATCTGGATGTTGTGTCCTTCCATCTGAACATTAGCTACTGAGGCACCAGCCATCAAACACGGGGCAGTCAGTGTTCTAAGTACCTGACAGCTTTGAGAAGGACTAACAACATAAGAAAATATGCAAAAATGTCTCTTAGAAAGGTGAGGAATTATAGCACTCTGTTATGTCAAGAGAAGCAGAAAGATTTCTGTCTTTATAGATCTATATTTGGTAAGAAAAAGAGAATAGATAATTATAAAAATTAAACATAAATATTGATATGCTTGGGAAGATATGTTAAAATATTATTTATTTTTTAGGCATCAACAGTATTCTAACAGTTTTAAAATAGCCAGTTCCGAAATGTATATACCGTTTATTTATTTTAGTTGGTGCTATCTTTATTCTACTGAAAGCTTATTTGCTCTAAAAAAAATCTCTCCTTTATTGCTCATTTCCCAATAAAATAAAGTTGCCCCAGGAAGATATTACTTTGGAGATTTGACTATAAAAGCCACTGATAATTGGACTTTTCTGACATATTATAATGTACCTTTGCCTTTTAATGAAGCTTTTGCTACTCTTTTTTGGGGGGCGGAGGGGGGGGGGGTTAATTACAATAATACATACACGCCTTTCAAGATTCCAAGTCTCCTATTCCCAGTATTCTTGTAGGGTTAGCAAGAAGACTGTCAATTCACTTGTCACTATATTAATGAGTCAAAGAAAAGCAGCCAGCCAGCAATGAATCAATTGGAAAACTATGATGAATGCTTCAATAATTAAGGGAATAATTAAATTGCTGAATGTAGGATGGCTCTAAATGAAACAGCTTTTGTAATTGTGTCATCTTGTTGTTTATAAAATACAAAAAAGGAGCTGCCATTTAAATAATGTCACGGACATCCTTTTTAAACATATTGGCATCTTTCACACTGAATCTGACATTATTCCTGCATCCGAAGTTAAAACTGAGATCCTTTTGCCTTTTACCAGGCATAGAATAATAGCTTGTTGATAGTAAAAGTTCTGTAAACATAGCTGAACTCCCTACTTGACATCACACTGAAAGTTTCACATACACAGCAGGAGAACATCCCTTTACTTGACAACAGTTGTATTTGTTGTGGATATACTGGTGGTCTTTTGAAACACAAATGCCATCAAGTGTGAACAATGGCCTCATGTCCTTAAAAAGGCAACTCCACACCTCGGAGAATCACATCACAGCTCTTTGACATGTGTCGCTATCTGGTTGGGTATCGAATTTAAGACTGGTGCATCTCCAACATTCAGCCCAATGGTACCACTGCCTATACCAGAGATGGAGATTTCATGGCTTCCCAGGTGCTATTGAACTGTAACTTCCACATCTAGTCAATGATAAGATATGTTGCCAGTTACATTTCAACAACAACTAGAAGTCTGCACAGTCCTCTCCCTGGCCTATATCAAGGGGATTGTGAGTTTTGCAGGGCATATATCTACTTTCACCGATGAGTGGAAATCCCACTGAAGAGTTAAAAGCTTCATTCATGCACTACTGACCATAATCCTTCAGCAGAACTATGTGGGGAATATGTTCATGTTCCATTTGTTTAAATGAAAACTGAGTTCTTTTTCCAGGGAACAAACTCATACCTATGGGAAACCCAAAGCAGTGCTGTATGTAAACCTTGAGTTTATAAATGTTACCTTGCCAGAATTACAAAGATACGTGCACCTCAAGGGGTGGCCAAATCTGCCAGCTTTGTTGTGCCCTGCATTGTCCATTCTGTATAAGAAGAAAAGACACAACTTACCAAAAAATGAGCAGAACAAAATCTTTCATAGGGACTGCTGAAGGTGGTTGTGTTTCACTTCTATGTTATGCACATGTTCAAAACAGGAAGTCTTTAAGGGGAAAAAGGAAGAAACTCTCACTCAATAACAAACATAACAAAAGGATTGAAAACCAAAGTTTTAAGAGCTAAGTCCTCAAACTAACTTGTCAGTTTCACATGCCTTTTTCTTTTAAAAGACTTTTCCAAGAAATGTGTGGATATCAGTGAGTGTTTTGTTCAAAATCAAACTATTTTGGATGAAATACACTGTTTTCTGTAGGTAAGTCTTGTTTTGCACAAAAAGCTTTTTAAATGTTTGTTCAAATGTCTCACTAAAAATCCTGATCTTGAATACAAGAATGAATTAAACAAAGGATTTCTATTTCTATAGGTCCTAATGTCATATTCCTACAGAAGGGCATGGTGTAGTTCCATTCATGGAGAAAAACACTTCAGCCTAAATGCTGACAAGAAATCAAAATACTGTTGGACGCATAGTGACAGACTGAGGACTGTTAACATGTCTTTGTTATGTATGTTGTTACTTGATTTCATTGTTGTTTCCCACTTTGAATGCTATTTAGTAGCACCATCACCAACTCTATGAGATCCATGTTGGGTTGAAATCATCCAGTGCATTTCTGAAGGTCAAGGGAAGACACTGATTTTTATGAAATGTCCTAGAGAATTGGGAAATATTAATATGTGATAGAGATTACTGAAGTTGCATCTACACTGTAAAATTAATGCAGTTTGACACCACTTTCATTGCCATAGATCGATGTTATCAACATTTATAATAAACATGCAGATGCATTGATCATTGGGTTCAGTGTCATAATTCTTACATAATCCATATAGAGACACAGAAAATAAGAACAGTAATTATTTAATATGTAACAATTAGGTTAAACATTTCCTTTGATTCTGGCGCCATACACAGTATAATGTAACACTTGAGTCAAAACAAAATAACACCTCTCCCTGAACAGCTTCCACACTCTCAGTTCCCAGCAAACCAAAATCCACTCTCGCCCACTCTTCCTATGTATTCATAGCCCTTATAATTTCTCTTTGACTAACCAGTCCTAACTCATCTCCTCTCAAACTTTAACTTATTCCAATCTTCTCTTACCCCATCTCTATTTTATATGACAGATAAGCCTCTGGTTTTGTATTCATCCTCCCCATAGTATGTCCCATAGCACTCCCAAAACTCTGGTTGGCTGACTTTACACAGGGCTGCCAAGTCCCTCTTTTCATAAAGTAGGAGCTTATGCCCATGATTTTTATCACACCAGCTTGCTATTTTATAGCAGTCACATCACTATAAATAATGGGATCCATAGTGAGTTGAGCAGTACATTTATTAATGCAAATGTGCCAGTTAACCAGTCCATAGTCTTGTGAGCACTCTTATGCACACCCTTGTAATACTACTTTCTTGCATTGTTCCTAATCCAGCATACCTGGATTGTGGCGCAGCGCACCGGGATTGTGGCGCAGCTGGCTGAGTGTCAGCTGCATTAAGATCACTCTGACCAAAAGGTCATGAGTTCGAAGCCAGCCCGGGCTGGAGTGGGTGTCCAGCCATTGTGTAGCCCGTTGTCGACCTTTGCAACCCGAAAGACAGTTGCATCTGTCAAGTAGGAAAATAAGGTACCACCTTGTGTGGGAGGCTAAATTTTAACTAATTTATGAGGCCATAAAGAAAAAAGACTCCGGGGAATGTGGAATGCGGAAGAACTTCATCGGTGTCGTTGATGGACGATGAAAAGCAGCAGCTCCCCTGGCGGCCAGAAAAAAGTTAAATAGCCTTTGTCTGTTAAATGTTGTTTGTCAAACTGGCATTGAATATTTGCCATATATGTGTTTACTGTAATCCGCCCTGAGTCCCCTGCGGGGTGAGAAGGGCGGAATATAAGAACTGTAAATAAATAAATAATAAATACCTTGTAGTTCATTAATTTTGTCATTATTTTTTTATATTTAGTGCAATTGTGTGATTCTAGCATTTTAAAAAATTGGCAAGCACATATGTTAAAAACATGCTAGTCAATCACTTTGAGAACCCCAGTCACCGACATTATGTTACTGCTGGCATGCCAGCACAGAAGTGGAAGAAGCCCATTACACCATGTTGGGTAGTAAGAATATTTTGCCCATCAATCGCTATGGAAGGGAGAAAGAATTGCGAACTGTTAGATCAGGTGGGCTGGTTTGTCTACCTTAGAATAAAGTCCAATATTTCCTTAACTTACGTCTGACAGTCCGAGCCAGGCTATCTTTCAATATTTCTGAACCTGAAGCATTTTCCTGCGGGTAATTTCTGCTTGTGAAACATCTGCTTATGAAAATGTCATGAGCATGACACAACATCTAAGACATTTTGTGCGACTGGCTAACCTAGGGTCTAAAAATTTTCTGGAATAAGAACAAGGAGCGCTATTTCTTCTGTATGCTGTAATTATACACTTCTAAAGTATACTATGGGACAAGATTACTAGGCATGTTTAAACAATGTGCAAAGGACATTACATATATTTAGCATATTATCTTACTTTCTGGTTGTGCTTGTTCCAGAGGGGTTGGCGTATTGGGGGAAGGAGGGGGGGGGGGTTTGCTGCAAAAACACCTAAGACTTGCAAGATCAGAAGTTTTATTGTTCCATAGGTTTATATGGACTTAAGGTATTTCATCAATTTGTATTTATTGGAAATTTCAATTCAACATTTATGTTGTGAAAATAAATATCAATGTCTGAATGTTCAGTCAAAATGTCAATTTTTAGAATTTACTTGGAGGCAGAGACACTGATGCTGCTTTACAGGGACACCTTTCTAAAGTTACACTCTTCCTTGTCCTTGAGTTTTCCCTGTTTTGGCAGAATATTTAGAGAAATTTAGGCTTTTAATCTTTTGGAGCTTCTTTTGGACCCAAAATTTCTCTATTATTTATTTATTTATTTACCATATTTATATACTGCCCCTCTCAACTCGGTGGTGACTCGAGGCGGTTACAGTCGGCAGTCAATACCCCCAAACAACATATATACAGTTAAAACATTACATATAATATAAACCATATAAAAGCAATAACACACTACTATTCTAACCTTTCTTTTCTTTTTTCTTTTTTTTTTTTTGCCTTCTGGTCAGTTGGAGCAGAAAGCACGACAGCAGAATATTTTCCTGTTCATCAAGGCAAGACCTCTGGCGTTCTAGGACCAAGTAAGAGATAGCAGTGGATCTCTATCAGATCAATCAAACTGACAAGGAAGGAGATAAACAACAACCAGTCACACACAAATACGCACAGAGCATCTAGCAAAATAGTCCTTATAAAACATAAAAGTAGCTTTAATTACAAAAATGTAAATACCAAATATTTGGTCTACTGCAGTGGTTCTCAACCTGTGGGTGCCCTTCAACTCCCAGAAATCCTAACAGATGATAAACTGGCTGGGATTTCCGGGAGTTGTAAGCCAAAACACCTGGGGACCCACAGGTTGAGAACCACTGGTCTACTGGAAGCAGGAAAGAGAAAGCATCTGTCAATTAGATTGATACAGGAAGGAAGTGGGTTGGGAAAAGTAAAGTCAGAAAGTCAGACAATGTGCAACTAGCAATTACTGGGCATATGGAGATGAGTATCATGTGTCCTGTGATGCCTACTTTTGTGGCCCCTTAAGCTATCACCAGTTGTCCAAAACTTTACTCAACCACCAATTGTCCACTTACGATGGAAATAGGTCCACATCCCCCTCACTCAGGAGCTACATTCAAAAATCCTGGTTTTCCTCTGTAGTCCCCCCAAAAAATCACTATTTTGAAAAAAAAATCAGAATAAATTTAAGGTATTTGGCTGCTGTGAAGCCTGCAGGAAGGAGAGCCTAGGGGAGGAAATTAGCCCCTGGACACAGTTGCTCAACAGTGCTCTAACTGGGATACTCTTCTTTTCAGTGGATGGACCTTTGTCTATGCCTAATGCCTATGGAAGTGTTGGTCTCCAGGACATGTTTTTCTCTGAGCTCATGGCCTCTCACTCTTATTAAGTTTTCTCCCAAAATAATGTTTCTAAAATGAATGCTATTATATTATTATATCTTTGACCTGAAAACTGTATTAGAGCATTCAGGAGAAACCTGTAGATAATAAAGTCACAATCAGTACTGAAAGTGCAAAAAAAGGTCAGTTCATATCACAGGCCACAAAGACTGAAGTCCAAAGTACCCTTGATCTTGTTCTGAGTGCACATACATGTAAATGAATGTTCATGAATACCATGAATACCAAATACTCAAACTTATGATTTATGAGTTGTGAATCAAAAGAAGATTCAGATCACAGTACATTACCAATACTTTTCAGTTCTAACTTTCCTCTGCTTGGTAGGTAGGTTTTGAATATATGCAGAAGAAAAATAATTCATACTGCTTCTGATTACATTTTGAAGTTCAGATTGTATTGTGCTTCTGATAATATCATTGGAGAGATCCTATGGCCCAAGAGTAATCTCTTCTTTGCAGCTGCCAGTGGACTTTAAATGCAAGCCTTGAAGTTTCCCCACCTTGGCTGATTCTATTTTTGGAAGGCGTGGGATTTTTGAACTATAGAAGAAAATAGCAAGCTTTGTCTTTCTGTGTAGCTCAAATGGCCTATTCCATCCCTTCTCCTCCAAAGAGAATGAGCCATAGTGGAATTTTTTTAGATCTTTAGTATTAAAAGTTTTCTGAGGAACTGAAGCCAGAAAAAAAATCTATAATGTCTGTTTAGTTGACTATTGAAGGGAAGGGATAAAAATGAGACAAAGAACAGAGCAGTATATTAAGAATCATGATGGATCAGACCTAAAGTCTATTTAAATCAACTTTCTCTTCATGTATTGGTCAACCAGATCCTTTTTAGAAGCTCATGCCTCACAGGCAGACATGAGTGCAACATCACCTGCAATCCCACATTTTCTAGCAACTGAAGGTATCAATATCCAAACTCAGGACTTCTGAATCAAGGAGCAGTTGTAGCCTCCAAGAACAGAGAACTATCACCCCTGACAGATGGCCATCCAGCCTCTGTTTAAAAGCTTCCAAAGAAGGAGCCTCTACCACACTCCAGGGCAGAGAGTTCCGCTGCTGAGCAGATGAGGAAACACGGAGCCTATTTACTTACGCTTTGACACATGGCTGCTGGAAGTGCTCTGCTTCGTTGAGGGGTGTGGGAAACCTGGTGCCCCATGCCCTGCATCACCTGGCTTCAGCTGAGGGCAATTAGATGGGAGGCGGAGTGTCGTGTGTGCAGTTTCCCCCCATGAATTCCAATGGCAACAGGGGAGCCCTCTCATTTGCCATGGCCATGACATGCACTGGCTCTGCTCTCTTTCACCCATAGACAGAGGCAGCTCTAGGTAATTTTCAATGATAAGCAAACAGTATTTTGGTGCCACCCCCCCCCCCCAAACCAATCACTGATATATATATATATTCTGTTCATCGTGGGAGTTCTGCGTGCCACATTTGGTTCAATTCCATCATTGATGGAGTTCAAAATGCTCTTTGATTGTAGATGAACTATACATCCCAGTAACTACAACTCTCATATGCCAAGGTCTATTTTCCCCCAAGAGCACCTCAAGAGCGCCCCTGGGCAAAATCAACTATACTGAAAATTCTTACTTTGCGTAATGGGTTGAGCCACCCCTGGGGGGAGGTCAAGCAGCACCCCTCCCCCTCTCCCTGTCTCTCTCCCCCTCCCTTCCCCATAAGGGAAAGGGGAAGGGGCAGGTCAAGCAGCACCCCTCCCCCCTCTCTATCTCTCTCCTTAAGGGGGAGGGGGAGGTCAAGCAAAAACAAAGGAGGGAGCAGAAGTGGGAGATACCTCCAGCCGGAGGGGCTCTCTGTCTCTCTCTCTCTCTTGGTCCCAATGGCTGAGGAGAAAGTCAGGAGAAGAGGCGACTTTTGGTCCGGACCCGAAGCGGACCAGGCAAGGGAGCAAGTGTGGCGCAGAGGCTCCACCCCTTGGCCCACCTGTGGATTAGGGAGTGGAGAGGAGCGCCAGGCAGGTGGAGCGCCGGGGGCTCGGGAAAAGGAGCCGGTCATGGGGAAGGGATTGAATGCGGAGAATGATTGAGCGCCGGCTCTGCGCACGCTCCC